GAATCCCCTTTAAGAGTCGTTCAAAAAAACGTCGTGATCAACGCTGGTGGAAGCGGTTTTGCAAACAAAGTTGCGAGAGGAACCTTTAAGCATTCAGAAGTAACTCCAACAGAAATATAACGAAACTGTTTGAAGCAGCGGTACGGAGTTTCTCGTTAGTCTAGATTTCTCGGAAATAACTTCATCGCCATCCGTGGCAGTTATAGACTTAGGCCTGCAGGCCACGTAATTATGTTAACCGTTCACAAAGGAAGGTGAATCTTTGCAAAAATTGGTGTCAAGATAACCACAGTGATATTAAATATTGCTTTTATTTGTATATTATTTGCTCACATTGCTACTGCCTTGATGAACCGTATGGTTTGTTAAAAGTGTATGGTGAAGAGTCTCATGTGCATCAAACATGCAGAGGCATAGAGGTCTTCGCTATTTATGAGCAATTTATGCCTCTGCAACAAACTTTTAATAAGAAAGAAACTATTTTGGTTCTGAAAAATTTGCTGTAAAGCATCTTTGGCATTAGACAGCTAATTGCACCAGTTCCTCAAGTTCATTTTCCAAATTCCGTTGATCCGTTGCCATAAAGCTGCTATGCTTTTCATACTTCTAGGACCTCGGACTTCAAGCTGCATGTAAAATGAAGTTTTTCAAATATGGAAGATTAGTGAAAACTATGACGTGTTCTTTTTTTGATGCTTTCCAAACGGCCGAAAATGGGTCTAATTTCCTGGTCGACTTTTGCATATTTTTTAAAATCGCTGTCATACCCTACGTTGTCAATGAGTTTAATGATCTAATAAAGGTCCTACAAAAGGTAGTGCGAATTAGAACTGTATGGAATGAATCTTGGCTACAACGTGGACGAAACCTACTTGCGTGCACTACAAAAAAATCTCCATTTACAACTCCATACACAAAGTTCCATTATCACCTTAAACAATGGAACTTTTTGAAGGATCTTGTTGTGACATCTATATCCAATTTTCTTTTCATCACATGTGAAAACCTAAGAGTTTAACAACTAAAGGCTCTACCGGTGTCGCTATGAGCAATGAACTAAGTCTGGCTTCTTAACAGTTAAAGTAAAAGACGTTTTCAATCTTTACAGTTTCGTTTACTCAAAAGGTGAATTTCGTATCTAGGGCAGACTCTCATCAGTTTCGTCGCGAAAGACTTCGTCCGCATTAAAGAAACAATGGTTACCAAATGTTCTAAACAATTATTACACTTAACTGCCTCCTCGCCCTTTTCTTTCAGCTTCAGTTCTTGCTCCTTACTACACATGATATAGTTGGAACTTAATAATTTACCCGCCAAATTTCTGTACATAGAGGAAGCCGTTAATAAATATATGGTTCACTTATCAAGATATCTCGCTAATGGTCTGCTACTTCAGAAATCATGGAAGTTATTTGCATGTCAAGTACGGGTTCAAAGTTCAAGTCTTGAAAGAAAAGTCTTGCTAACAAATTCATAAGTTATACATTTTGAAAACTAAGTGGGTATGCGAGCCTGTCGCCTATAGTTCGACGATAAAATATCCATTCGAAGTGATTTGGGTCATTCACGGTACCTAGTAGATTATCGCAAACTAGGGGTGCAGCCGAACAATATTCAATATTCTAAGCTGCATGGTGTAAAAAGATAAGGATTGGAGGCTTACTGCACTTCAAATGTCAAATGGAAGTTTTTTACCCTTTAAGTCTACTAAGGGCTAAGCAGAAGTACACAGTTGGGACCATCGCAAACATACACACACATTACCTAACAAAGTTCCAATTTGTGGCCCCACTCCCAAATCCCAATTTTTTTTTTTTTTTTTTTTTTTTTTTTTTTT